TGTGGGTCACTGAGTCCGGGATGGTCAAGTCAACCAAAGAGCTGCAACCACAAAAGGCACCTTCTTCAATGTGGGTCACTGAGTCTGGGATGGTCAAGCTCTCCAAAGAGCTGCAGTATTGAAAAGCATAATTCCCGATGTGGGTCACTGAGTTCGGGATGGTCAAGTCTGACAAAGATCTGCAATCCCCAAAGGCATCGTCGCCAATGTGGGTCACCGACTCCGGAATGGTCACTTTGGCCAATGTTTGGCACCCCTGAAAAGCTCCTTTGCCAATTTCTGTTTCATCAGGCGGAATTTCGACCACAAGCAATAGTTCTGGGTCGACGATGCCGCCGAGACTGGCGATCGCATCTTGGTTGGAGCATATCACTACATTTGGCTTGAAGACAACACTCACAACAGTATCTTCAGAAATTCCAGCGTCCAATACCTTTACATCGTTCGCCAGCAAGTGGTTGTTTCCGACAATGATCCCCACACTTGTAGTGCTGCGAGTGAGCTCGTCCCAAGGCTGTCCCTCCTTGATCTCCTGCTTGAGTGCCCAGCCTGTTGTCTCTGGTGTGACTTCAAAAACATGACTTCACCACTCGGCTGCAGCGCTGAAATTAGCTTCATCATGGCTCACAGACCGACGGATTGGGATCTGGGACTCTTTCACATCATGTATTGGGCACATGCTGCGCGTCATGCGTGTATTGCAAACAATATCGTCGACACGCGGGAGGGTAGTTCGCCTTGCTCTCGGTTCGGCGAGAAGTTCAAAAGCCCATTGGTTCCTTTTGGGTTGAGGATTGAATACTGGACTGGTCCCAAGAGCAAGAACAAAGCATTCCAACTCATCGATTTTCTGCACATCGCAGCACCCGCGTGCTCCGCGCCCCAATGGCCGGACGGTCCCAATGGCCGCGACTTCTTTCGCTGCGCTGGCACGACGGATTGGCTCGACATTAGCTGACGACCGGCAGTCACTTTGCTGCCAACACGCGGAGAGGTACGCCCCGCTTGTTCGGACCAATCCCGCCTGAATCACCTTCATTGGCTCGGACCTATACATAAAACCATGATTTAGAAAAAATAACCCTTACCAGGGCCCCCTAGATAAGGGATGATAAGGGGTGTCTTAGACATGTTGAGGGGTGTCTTGTCTTAGGCACCCCTCCGGCCCTCCAATGGCCCAGATAGGTTCAGAAAGGTGGTTCAAACAGTTCCATCCATGGACTCTTGCTTCGTAAACCACCCCCAGTTGAATTGAACAAAACACTCTGACATGTCATTCCAAGAGAGGTTGAGTGACCTGAACGTTCGGACCCCTGGAGTACCGAACTCGGGATAGTCGAACCGTTCGGGTCATGACCCACCTCTGTCATTCGTCGGGTGACGTCCTCTCATTCGTCAGACGTCCGACATCGCTACGGCTCCGGTGGCTGCCGACTCAGTCCAACACCAAGGCAGTCACCTCAAACGGAGGACGCCCGGCCGACGGCCGGGTGGACGCAGTGCGGAGAAGATGGTGGTCCAAGACATCCAGAGTGGGAATTCAGGTTAGAAGATGTTCTTATATAGCAGGTGGCTCGAAAAGGAATTGCCTTTACTTCGCGGCAGTGCCACAAATAGTCGAACTGGACTATCCAGGCTGGTTCAGAGAGCTGTTTTGGCGTCACTTCTGAGATGCTACAACATCTGCACGTAATGGAGAAGAGATGGGTCCCAAATGCTTCTCCCAAAATAGATCGAATTGATCTCAATCGCAATTCTTCTAGACGCCCTCTAAATCATCCATGCAAAAGGTATATAGTCCAACAAACCTCCCGAACTGGGTGCTGATGGCCCAAAACATGTCCCTTTTCGACCCCTTTCGACCACTCGGGGCCTCCCTTCACCAAGCTCTGGACGCCATCGGCGTCTGCCGAACGAAAAGAAACGCCTCGACCTCTGCTCGGACTTCCCCGGGCCACCCCGGCTCGCAACGTGGCCCCAGTTGGGCCTGGGCGGAGATGGTGAGATGGCGGGATCCAGGCACCAGCGGCTCATGAACAAAGGCTTGGATGCCAGGACCATCCAATGGGTGCCATGTGTTTTGTGGGGTCACCAACATGTGGTGTGGGTGCCATGCATTGGTTGAGGCTTGATGATGGTTTGTGGGGCCCCTGGCATGAAAAATTGGCCAGCAACACCTTGTGATGACCAGCGCTGGTGATGACCACTCTAGGGGTTGGATCTGCCAAAGCAACAGATATTCCATCCAAATGGCACCCCACAACTTCCTGGCATCCAAACTCATGTAAAAAAATCAACAACATATTTGTAATAGGATGTGAAACGCCTGCTAGCTATTTCTGCTTCTTTGACATACAGCAGGCATGTGTAAATACATCACAAAATATATCAGTACATTAATTAATTCAATATATTACAATATCATGTGTTTTCCGTCGCATCTCATACCAACCCCCTCCGACGTCTGTCCCTCTGTTCCCCCCCAAAAAAAGGAACCACTCTGCTCGTGACACTGGGGCATCGGTGCGAGGGCCCAGCGTGAGGTTGAGCAAACCATCAAAGCCTCGAAGCGAAGACGCATCCAAGTGGAGGAGCTGAACAGGAGACCGTTGGTGAGGCGAGACAAGGACCGGAGGTGTTTGGGTGCATCTGAAGCAAAGGTTCATTCCTCATCCACCGGAGTTAGTTCATCCCCAGAACATCCTGTGTTGCTTCTTTCTGCTTACAGAATGAAGGTAGATCGGTCGATGGCATAAAATGCCCCAACTACTACACCTCTTTCGGGGCTCCCCGTGCCATCTACTCTGAAATGCTTGGGTGCAAATTCTGACACCCACCGCGAGGTGTAAGGTTTCTGGCACACAAAAAGCATATAACCATGAAAATAGCCTGCCCAAACCCACAAAAAACGTCTCTAAAAACTCTCAAACCTTCTGGAAATACATGTGCGGGGCTGGTTCCACCTCTTCAACGAAGCACGGAAAGCTTGTGGAAAAGCATCTTCATGTAGCAACTGGGAACTCATCGGCACGAAGTTCCCAAATCTTCAAATGAAATGAGCGCTGGTGCCCTTCGCACGCCAGCGACGGGCCGGCGCATCGTGTCTCCGGGCCGTTGGGGTAGAACTTCTCACCGGGCAGGAAGGCACGGCCAAGCAGCTGGTCCGCACGTGGCCTCAGCTTGGCTTGGACTCGGAGTGTGGGAGTACAGGACTGGACGAGACTCGTAAGAAATATGAGTGTGTCTACCAGGTGCTGAAAAATGGGTCACCAATGGGCATGCCGATGCATCAATCGGTGTAACGGTGTCTCGGTGTAAAACGCGGAAAATACAGACACCAAATGCGTGCCCTATGCAACCAGTGCAACCCTACCCTACGTAAACAGGTCTCCTACTCCAGGGCACCCAGACTGTGTCAGTGCTAGGTATAAAAGGGTTTTATACCTAGCCTGCCCCAAGAATCCGAGCTCGGGCTGGACTCTTCACAGTCGGACCCGACCTCGAGCAGTCCGGGGTCCGCGGCCGAAGCAAAGCCCTATCTTTTTCAGGGCCCGGATTCTTGGGGTAAAAGGAAAAAGCACCATCTCGAAATGAATGGGCCTTATATATATAATATATATATATCCTTATATGGCCTATATAGTACTACTTTACTGCACCTCCAAAAATCCTCCAAATGCCATGGTCAAATGGTGCCACGAGTTGGTGGAAACTGTGTTCTCCTGAGTTGGTGATCGCTTCTTTGAGGGTCCGTATGGGTCCGTTCCTGATTCTCAGAACATGAAGAAAACCCAGATAACCCCCTAGCTAGTAAACCCCCAAAGGACCTCATAGACCTCCCAAACCACCGTCGGGTTGGTCGTAACATGGTCGAAACCGTCCGGAAATGCGGGTCTTCGCCAAGCTGGATGAGGTTTCACACTCGACACTCGTTAAAAGCCCGGGCAGGTCCGGTCTGCCCGCCGTGGCGCCCCGACGTCATCCCTTCCTCCTGATCGCGGCTATAGACCTCCATGACGAGCGCATCGCCCGGAGCATAGCCTCACGAAGACGAGCCGCGCCAACGCCGTGGCGCCCGGAGCGAACGGCCTCGGGACCCCATCGTCTCCCAAAGCGGACTGCAGTGGCCTGCCTGGTCCGAATCGCTCAACGAACGAATCGATTCCTGAGAGGTCCATGGTCCGAACGGTCCATGGATGTTCGTGACGTGCGTTTGGAGCGAAATGCATGAGTTACGTTCGTGTGCCCAGGCGATAGACCACTCTGCAGACGTTACCGGTATCTGAATGATCTTTAGACTGTCATGACATCTAAGATATGACGATATTTTGTAGATGTAGAATGATGTAGACCCAAACTCCATCAGAACACCACTACCTCTTGTTCATCCTCACCAGGCCTCCCCCCAAATCCGACTCTTGAGAGATCGGAGTTGCCTGAACAATCGAACCTTTTTGCCCGAAATAGTGAGAACCTTCTAAGGGGGTCTGACTGCTTTTATACACAAACACTACCCAAGTGAGTGCTTCTCAGTGTGTGAGTGTGTCTTTCTTTTTACGTCATCTATTGAGAGCTGGGCTCAATCAGGCGCAAAACACCGAGATGAGCATGTCTTCTTACCACATGCCAAAACCCCACCAACAAAACTGTTCAAACAAAAATAGAAAAACCTACTAGCGTCCTTGCTCCTAGTAGCGATGCCCTTTGCTCCTAGTAGCTTCTTGCTCCTAGTAGTAAGGCCAGGAGCCCCGTTCGTAGCGTCCTTGCTCCGTTCGTAGCGTCCAGTGCGCCAACTCCGACTCCAGTGCGCCACCGCCATTCCGCCGGTGCCTTTCACCGTCCGGCTGAAGCGCCACCTCGACGCACGCGGACTCGCTGGCGCACCGCACGCACGGGCAGGGCACGACAATCTGACAAGCAAAGTCTGCAGAAGCAAAGAAGAGAACTGTGAATAAACCTTAGGACCTAGAGGATGCCCTGGAAGTTTAAGATTCAAGACCTTTAAACAAATGGTGGACCTGGTTTTGCAGTGTAAAGTCCTTAGTAAAACAATGGTCGTTTGGTACAGGCTATTGAATCAATGGTGCTTGGAACTTTCGGGGAAGGTTACATCCCACGAGGACGTGGACAGATGTGGTTCTTCAAGTCGAACCCTGATTCTGATTCTCACACTGTTCCAAACACGGCAATGACAAATGGGACTGGAATATACGACAAAGTTGAAGGGGGAATATATACCATTGACCATGACCTTGGTCCAACTAGCGTTGCATAACTCTTTAGTTCACTTCCTGCTTCCACAATGACCTGTATAAAGATGCCCCACATGGACCCCTTTTCAACCACCCCTGGTCCGATCGGTAAATAGCCTCATGGAGTGTCTGCGTGTTGAGTGGAGAAATCCTGCCATATCTGGAGCCGCCGAGACGCTGAAAATATCAGTGCCTGTTCACTGGGCTTCTTCTAACCAAACACTGAGATTGAAGCATACCCTTCTGCAGATTAACCTGCACCCCCTTCAAGCACTGGGTGCTACAGTACAGGACAATTCTAAGATGGTCGAAACCGCGGGTGAATTCTCAGGGTGCGTGCGGTGCATTCTCAAGGTCCATGGGATCGTCTCCAGGGATGTGGTTCCACAGTGGCCGCGTTCGTCAGAAACTCGAGGGCCGGGCTCGGGGTTCGAATCCAGCGCCACGGGGTCCTGAGCGCACGGAGGAACCGTCATGCGGGAGCACGTGTAGGATTCCAAAGGGCATGACAGTCATGGTCGAGCAAACTTCGACCATGCTGGGATTTGAGGGATCAGGCCAGGAGATGTCCCATCTCCCCACCATGTCACATGGTCGATGAACAATGATAATGCCGTTGAACCATGGTCGTGGATGAACATCTCGGGGTGGTAAAATCGAGTCGAGTCAGGGAAGGCCTGGAAAGATCATGAAAATATCATATGGAAATGAACCAGTCTACCCGTTGGGCCAGGGGGCCTCCTATTCAACTCCACACCCATATTCACACATGCATCCCATCACCCAAGGCTCAGACGTGCTCGGACTATCCTGCTCTAACTCTCCTTGTTGGCTTCCATCGGGTGATCAGCAATTTGTGCCAAATCCATCGCATAAAGGGAACCCCATATGAAGGCCACCTACTAAATACTGACTCAAGAGGCCTCCAAAACCTCAGGCTTTCGTAGCTCGTAGATTTGGAAGATTTTACCAACCATTTATCCTTCCATATCCTTGCTGACTTCGGTCTGGATCCCAGCAGCCCTCCCCACTGGTCTCCTTTTACAGCGAGCTGGCACTGCCCGTCTATTCGGAGCGAACGCCCAGAAGCCGAGGGACGGTCAAGAGCTTGGACTCCTTCTTCAGAGGGATCTCACAGGTGCAGTACCTGCCCCCCGTGCTGCCCTGCATGGCGGCGGCTCGGGTAGTGGATGGGAGTCGACGCTGGGACGACGCTCTCGAGAAGACGAGAGGCGTCTGCTTCGGAAGGTGTTGTTTTCCTGGGAAAGAGGTCGGCGGCACGGTTTGGAATGTCGGTTCGTGTGCAGGAAGATGAATCAGAAAGATCATGATCTGCCGATTGAAACTCAGAACACAAATGGGAAACCGGCAGCCTGGGGTTAAACTTAACTTGCTAAACGGCCACATGTTGAACTTTGAGTCTATACATAATATATGTTCACTCTTCAGAGGGGTCCAACTGAGGTGCCTTCCTAATCTTCCTATGTTTCAGGGTGGGCGCCGGCGCCCACATGTTCTTCTTCTCAAGCTCCTTGGCTCGGCTGTGGCATGGACAACCCCCCCACCCCTCGGCGGCTCCCCGAACTCGATCCCAACGACCCTCTCGAGACGACTCGAGACGCGGAGCGCTCCGCGGTGACGAGCGCAGCACGTGACTCCACTCATGGTGCTGGTGGCCAGACCTTGGAACTCCGGGGATTCCACCACGGGATGGGACAAGGAGCCGAGCGGAGGCGGCCCAGTCGGCTGCCCATTCCGTGGGCCACATAGTTGGTAGCGCCGGAGCGTCTTGGAGGGGGACCTCTTGGGCCAGGGAAGAGTTCTTCCCTTGTTGGTGCATGATGGAAAGCATGATATGTTTACAATCTACCTAGCGCCTCCTGGGTCCTGTCGGGGTGCCCCGTCTGGAGACCTGTAAGTAGTGTGGTGTGAAGATATCCAGCCAGGTGACCCCTAGCCCGGAAGCAGCTGGTGGGCACCTCGCAGGGGGTCCGAAGTAGAACTCCAACCCAAAACATCGGTAATACACCCGGGAAAAGTAACATGGAACCTGAAGAGATGGACCAGACTGGAAGACGATTTTCCTCTACAACCCAGTGGTTTTCAGGTTCCATGTTAAATTTCCAGTGTATACGGTATACTACTGGCACTAGTCATTCTCATCATTAGACATGAAAAGGATTAGCTTGCTCAAGAGGTAAGGGACACAACATGTTCCATGGCGCCATCATTGGTCAAAAGCTTTCGGCTGTCCATCCGTGCGTTCTCTTCCATGCCTTTCTGGTCATAGAGCCCTCATCCACAAGCACAGTCACAACTTGCATGCAACGCCACCGGGGAACACGGTAACGGGATTGCACATGAGTTTTTCAGTTCCTTCCTATTCCTTCTGGCGCAATTGATCAGGACACTGGGAAGCGAGGGCAGCACGAAAGAAGGCGCTTTAGGTTGGAAGGTGTCAGATTAGATGCCACTGGGGCTCATTTAGCCATGCTGCCTATCAGTTCAACTAATTTCCAGTGGCCTGTCGGAGCATTAGCTTGCTGCCAGGTCAAACCCATGCAATCTCAAACATGCTCAAACCTGACACATGGTCCAACGATGACTATCGAATATATAAGTTACTTACAAAAGTGTCATGAGTCATGAGTCATGACTAGGGGTAAATGCGTACACAGGATTACATATGTGCACTATTCCATACATAGATGGTGCGGGAATGTGCTTTTCGAAGTTTGTTTCTCATAGCCAGGTTAACCCGGCAGGTGGAGAGAATTCTTTTGAGGGACACTTCATGTCATGCTATCAAAGGAACTGACTGGACAAAATCCGAAAATTCGAGTTGCTCCAACAGCTGGCTACTGGCTATCAGAACCCCTCCCATGCCCATGCCCTGCTTCTCGGTGCCCCAACCGAAGGCAGAGATCAGCTTCACCCGAAGCTTTTGTTGCTGCTTGGACGGGGACGCCTTGGGCAGTGCATGCTTCGGACCGAGGCCCGGGGGTTGTTTGCTGATCAGCTTTCAGGAAATGGATTTGGCACACTCCCTGAAGCAAACATGAAAGTGCACAATCCCCTATTTGTAGAGAATAAGGAGGCCGTTGTCCACTTCCATGATTGTTGGAGGGAGGGTATCCCTTGCCAATTCTGTTGGGGGAAGCTTTGGGCTCCCAAGGTTCAGGTGTTACAAACCCTCAAAGCCACTTCCAAAAGATAACTCCATTGTTGCAACTGCCCGCGGCGCGCGTCATGTGTTCGTCATGCTTTAATGTAGACGTCCGCACCTCAATCCTACCAGTAAGTGACCCCAAACTTGGTGGCGCTTTGAAGGTACTCGCGCCGACATGCGCCGACCCGGGTCAGCCCTCCTCTGCTCCACGACCGACGACGCGGGCACGACTCGGTGAGGTGACCCGGTCACGGATTCCAAGCACAAGTAATGTTTTGCGACGTGAACGTAACGTTAATTAATTTATATACCAGGAGTCACATGGAGTTGGGTGGTGTTTAGTCCCTAAGTGAGTGGATAATGGGCACCCCTAATCTCCATTAAGCACCCCTTTTTCACTGCTGGTGCCAGGACCTTCCTTTCGCCTGTGGTTCATGGACACCCCGAATCACCCTGAATCGGAGGCTATATGTATATATACATATATATATATAATGTGTATATATATATATAAAATAGATTATTATATATATATGTACAGTATATATACTATATTTATAGATTATAATATATATAGACACCCTGAACAAAGGGTCGGGTCCTAGTATATCTCATGGCTTTGACCGATCCACCATGGTTTTACTGAACACCTTTCGACGCGACCAAATCCAGGTCGTTCCCACTTGTTTCAGGGTCGGTCCACGGACGGTTTCTCCATTAAAGGGGCGACCTGATCGCTCGCTCGCTTCCACTCCAACAGCCCTGGGGCGTGCAGACATCCCAGCTGAGTGGGGCGTCCGGACCGATCACGGAGATGGAAAAAGGATTCGAAAAGGATGAGCACCTGGAACCTGCCTTTGAGAGTATTTGATACGCCTCAAGCGAGCAACCCTCAGGCAAGCAGGATCTCCAAATTCCTCGAAGACACCAGCAGCTCATAGCGGCCCTGGAGTCTAGATGAGTCCAGACCACAGGCCTAGAGGCCTAGAAGGCGTCTGCCCCAGACCTGGTCCCAAAGATGGACAGCCGCCCGCGTCACAAGGAGGTCAACTGGCCAACATGCTGCAACCATGAAAGACACAATCCCCAATGTGGGTCGGACAAGCTCACCAAAGAGCTGCAATCTCGAAAGGCCTGATCCCCAATGTGGGTCACTGAGTTTGGAATGGTCAAGCTCACCAAAGAGGCGCAATCACGAAATGCTGCCATCCCAATGTGGGTCAGGGAGTTAGGGATGGTCACTTTCGCCAAGCTCGTGCAATTGCAAAAGGCCCAGTTTCCAACGTCGGTCACCGAGTCAGGGAGGGTCAAGTTCACCAACGAGCTGCAGCCCTCAAAGGCACCCTCCCCAATGTGGGTCACTGAATCAGAGATGCTTAAGTTCACCAAACAGCGGCAATCCTCAAAGGCACGATTCCCAATGTGAGTCACAAAGGCCTGGATGTTCAAGTTCACTAAACGGCAGCACCACTGAAAGGTGGCAAATCCAATGAAGGTGACGGAGGCGGGTATCGTCAAATCCGAAAAGGCATCGCAAGAGCAACCGTGGAAGGCGTAATTTTCAATGTGGGTGACTGACTCGGGGATGGACAAGCTCGCCAAAGAGCTGCACTCCCGAAAGGCGTGCTCTCCAATGTGGGTCACTCCTTCGAGGATGATCACCTTCGCCAAGTTCTCGCACCGCAAAAAGGCTGATAGAAGGATGTGAGTGTCATCGCGTGGGAGTTCGACCACCAGCAACAGGTCTGGGTCAGTGTCGGCCCAGGCTGTGCAACTCTTCTTTGTTGGAATAGGTCACTCGATTTGGCTTGAAGACCACGCTCACCGTCTCTCCAGCAATTCCTGCATCCAAGACCCGCGCTTCGGCCAGCAGTTGGTCTCCAACAACGACCTCCACACCGGACGTCTTCCGAGTCAGGTCGTCCCCAGTTCCGCTGCGCCGATCTGCTGCTTCAGCTCCCTGCCTGTCAACTCTGGGCGTGATGTCAAGAACCATGACTTCACCACTCGGCTGCAGCGCTGAAATGCTCTGCAACGCCGTGGCGAAACAAACAAAGCAAGTATTGGCACACACTGAGTTGAGAGGCACATGCCGCACCACGGCGGTGGCTCGCACCGGTTCGCCCCCAAACATCTGCAATCTTTATATTGAACTTGCTCCCGCGGGGTTGCAATTTACAACAGAATACCGCAGTGAAATCCATGGGTGGTCCCTCTCTGAGCTCCACCAGACGTCGCCCTTTCACCCTAAACCCATCCCGGTCACCGCCTCCTCCCCGTGACGTCGACTCCCCCAGCGCGTCGGTCGTGGCCGCGCGACCTCGGGGAAGAGCGCCACCGGGCGCGGGTGTTGCTCCCGCGCACGCACGAGGGCCTCCACCTGGCGACGAAGCCGTTGGGGAGCCGCCCTTCGCGTGGGTTTGGACCCCACTCCGAGTATTTTGCAAGTTTGCGTGTTTGGGAGGGAAGCAATGGTCTGAGATGGTCTGAGAAATCAGCTGAGAATTCCTAGCTGCCTTCCCAATCACCACCCTTTGGGGTGCTGTGGATCTGTAAACTCACCACCCTCCGGGCATTTGCAGTGCTGGACCTGGCGCCAGGCACTTTGAGGCCTTCGAAAGGGACCCTCAGCGGGTGTTGGACCGAACTTCTATCCCGTGACCCACCAGGAAGCTCAATCAAGTCGTGCCTCCAATCGCATATAGCAGTCAATCACGAAAATCGCACATTCATGGTCAGATGTCCATGTTCAGATCGAAGACCTTCATTGGGTCCGTCTGACCAAAATCACATCCCAACTCAACGCGTTCGCTCGCTCGCCGTCGTGCAGCCCACCGTGCACCGTCTTTCGCCCACCGGCTCGCGAAGAACCGTCCCAACACCTGCGTCTGGGTGACGGTGATCCACGCGGGCGCCACGAAGTTCCTCGCCGACGCGCCGCCGTTCGGCTCTCGGTCCGGGTGATGCGGGGCGCGAAAGGTCTGGCTGGCAGCTGAAGTCGAGGCCATGTGAAGATCACTGAGATAAAGCCGGAAACAGAAGGACAACACATCAGAAACACCTTCCGACGCTCGGTGACGGCGTTCTTCTCCTGCCCCCGCAGGCATGGACCCATTCGCGCTCTTCCAAACTCAGTGGCCTATCGCGTGCCGTTGTTTCGCGGACTCGGTTGTAAGTTGCATGTCACTCTCACCCTGTGGCTGTTACCGATAGGGTTGTCTAGCAGAATATAGCACCCTGGACAGTGAATACAATGTTGGAGGTAATCCACAAAATCTAATCGAATAGAAGGCTTGTTGATGTTGGTCTGACGTTGGGTCTCCGGGTCTCAACGTCAGTTTAGGGCGAAACTGGGAGCAGGGTGAGACATTGAGAGGTACCACCTGGTACCACCCACAAGGTGTGGTGAGTCTGTTCACCGCTTAGTAAGCTGCTTAGCCTCCAAGTATGGCTGTTCCGCAGCTTGGGAGGCCCGCGCAATTAAAGCGGCTGCGGGAGCTGCGAGAGATGAACTGGTGAAATGCGATAGTATATAGACCAGAGTATAACATAAGCCTCGAAGTCCAGCTCGACCATATTTTGACCAACTGAATGTATACAGGAAATGCCTTGACTTGCGTCACCTCCCAGGACCCTCCGACAGGTCACCAATTGAGACCTCTTAGGGTCCAACAACCCTCAATGAGTCAACTAACAGCCTGGCCAGGAGGGTGCTGGTCGTCAGACCATTCTTTGATATTCTTTGTAGTCTTCCACTCCCAGGGATCGAAGCATTCGTAACTGGATCCACTGGGTATCACTGGGTGACTGGGTGGCTTCTCGAGCCACCCCGGTGCTTGTTCATTCTCGAGGTCTGATCCACCGGGTCCGACACCGCCGGAACCCGACTCTCTGGTTAGGTGGGGCCCGGTGGCGCAGGTCGGGGTGGGTGGACCTGGCAGGTCTCGGGGGCTACACCTGGATCGACACCGACGCCCGACGGTTCCGAGACCCCACGTCTGGAACCTCATGGAACCTGAAAACCACGTCGACCAAGTAGAGGAACATCGTTTTCCTTGCAGGTCCATGTTCCAGGTGGGTTTTTTGAGGTGCATGCCGATGTATTCCGCCCAGTTGGAAGATCCAGGTATAATGACGACAGTCAACGACAGGGAACCATCGAACCACCGCCAGCAACATCTACAGCAATTGGGTTGGCCAAAGAAGTTACCCAAGCACTATCCGTCCATTCAATCAACGGCCCGTCCGTAAGTCAGAAAGATGTGAGCCCAAAACAGTGGTTGAAGAAAGTCTTGGCATGTCTTCACATAAATGACTGGGCTCAAGACCTAATGTAGACTCTTGATTGATGATCCCCCATGTGAATTGGAAATCCTTTTCATATATGGAGGGTTGATTAATCAAGAGTCTACATGATGCCTCTATGCCTCTGTCAAGTTGCCTCTGTCTTGCCACTTGCCAACATCGCCCGTCCGTTCGTCCTGTGACTGGGGCGATGAAAGCAACCCTAAGAATCCGGGCCTTTAAACAGAATCCGGGTTTGGTTCGGGCCCGGACCCCTGCTATGGAGGGTCAGGTCGGGCCCGACCCCCTGCCATGGAGAGCCCGAGCTCGGATTCTTAGGGAACAAAGAAACACAAACGGCACCAGAGCCCGGAAACCGTGTCTCCCGGCATCTTGGTGTTCTCTTCGACGTTCTCCAGCCACTTCGACGCCCGTTCGGCCATCTGCACCTCACATGGTATGAAAGGAGTCCGTTGGTATCACAGAGAAACCCAATGAAGACCTAGAAGTCCCAATTTCACGAACAGGCACTCGTTTGATATAATATTTTGTATTAATTAATCTGTTCCTATATATAAATCGAAAATACATTATAATATAGCTATAGGTGTTGATCGGGTCACCGAAAGGCTACGATCTGGTTCTGCCGCTTCCCCTTCGCTTCCACCGGTGGTGCTCGGCGGGTCATGCCGAGTCCGTGGGGGCTCGGTAGTGCCGCCCCAGAAAGGCCCCCCTGGCACCACCCCTGGACGATTCCCGAAGCATGGAGCCCTGAACATGGACGCCAATGGGAAGACGTGCTCTACAACCCACTGCACCCGGTCGCGGGGTCCATGGTGATCAGCAGGTACCGGGTGACTTCTTGAAGATCACTCCGATCTTGGAGACTTTTAGGCCACCGTTCTTCAACATCCTCCTCCAGTCCTTGTTTTCCAAGATCTTCCAAAGTAGTGAAACAAACATCGCCGTGGCATCGTGTCACTGATGTGCTTCGCATCAGTGGATGGCGTCATGTCGCTGGATCCACCGAAACGATCGTGTGCTCGTGTGTGTCGTGCATCCACCGGAGCTCGGAAGTGCACCGAAACTGACCAAACACCATCCACTAACTCCATGGACTCGATGGAGGCACCGAAGAAAAGGGAGATTTAATTTACCCCTCATTTTTGACCTCTCTGCAACTGTGATCTCTCCTTAAATCCCAGTCTAATTGCGTCATCTCTTGATCAATTAAACCCCCTCCCGTCTTGATGTTTACTACAAGCCTACCCGGTCGTCATTTCAAAACCCATCAACCGCCCGTGACCCCAGGCTGGGGTGAAGGAACCGCCGGCGCCTCTTTCGAAAGCCGTGCAGCTTCGGCCAAAGAATCCTTCTCTTCCTTCTGGGCCTGACCCAGGGTGCCAACTTCAACAACCCGACACAACCGGGCATCCAATGGATTTATGCCAGGGACACCCCTAGCAAGCCAACATTTGGAGTGAGGACCAGGGCAGGCGGCGCCCCTGGTCCTGAAGTGGCCGACATCCATCCCACTGGCCCCCAGACACGACCTGTCTGGGACTGCCATATATGCCGCCCCATTGACCTCCCAAACCACCCCAACTGATTGGCATATATGGTCAAAAAGGAATGCGAGTTATGCAGGGCTGGGACATGGAGTGTCTGAGACCTTTTCATTCTCGGTCTCGACACCCGGATACCCCTTGGTCTTACGCAGTGCGGTTGGAGGTTAGTCCGAACAGACCCCAGGTCCCACCACCGGGGCCGGGACTTCCCAAGCATCGTCCCGAGCCGACCGATCAGTCTGGCAGACGGCCGACCGATCAGTTCCGGGTCTCCGATGCGTCGTGTCAGCCCGGCCTGCTGAAGCTCATAGTGCAAATGATAGTGCCTCTGGTCGATTTCTCGATCGATCCCCTAACTCGGAGCCTTTGGGAGTGAACTGAAGAGCCTAACTGGGAGTGAATCCACTTCATCTTCCACCTGCCGTCACCTGCCCCCTTTCAAGACCGCCATGCTGGAACCTTCAAGACCGAGGCTTCTGCTTCAAGCGTTCTTGAGAGGCCCCATGTGTGGTAGATGGTTCTTTGCAAGAAGCCTTTGGATCCATGGTGGACGCTGAACAGCGTCGCTCCCGGACTGCATGGCACTGACGGTGGAGTGTGACCGGACCAGGCTCCATTTTTGTGAGGCCGTGCTGCAGTGCTGCCCCCAAGAAGATGACCTGTTTTGACAACATGCCCTAGGGCTCCAACTACCTTCTCAGAAGGTGTGACAGGGGTGTGTTCAGAGGGTCCAGCCATACCTTCTAAGGAGGTACTTGGAGCCCTCGGGAGGTAAAAACCATCTTTTATGTCTCCACTCTTCGGAAGTTGACCAAAGTGATCTTGCCTGGGGGCTACCATGGAGGGCTAGAATACAATCTCTTGAATAGGGATGCCCAAAGCAAAAGGTTCTCTTATGTTCCTTTGCCAGTTAGACGGGCATCGAAATGGTGCCCTGCTTCCGTACCACAACATCCCTGGACCTTCCTCTCAGGATGTCCTGGCTGGAGATTCACTTACGTGGTTAGGCATGTCCGGCCAAGTGAACCCCCGATTTATCCCCCCGCAGACTGACATGGGCCCTGAGAAGCACCCAGTGGAAGACAATTCTCCTCTACAAGCGAGTGGTTTTGAGAGTCCATGTTAATCTGCACAAAGATGGCAGGAGGGCAATTCACATTTTTTTCTCAGCTGCTGTGCTCTATTCGCTCCTAATCGAGCGGCGTTAAACAGGCTCGCTCCAGCGGGCCCCTGTCGGCCCCTGTGGGCCCCTGCTCGGTCCGTGCTCCGTCAGCAGGGGGGTCTGTGTCGTGGGTGCCCCTCGTAAGACAAAGGCAAAAACAAACTGACCAATTGTGAGTGAATCATCACACGGAATGGCCTCTGAAAGCTTGAGAATCTCGAGTCTGCGACCCACACACCTACCAATCTGAGGAGATATGTCTATATGTATATCGGCTGAATGAGTTGCACTTTTGCTAAATAGTGAGTGGCCGAGCCAGCCCTTTTTGGATCTCCCAATCTGGTGGAGATTGGAGGTCTATGGTGTCGTATGGTGTGCGTCCATGGTGTTAAAAGAATCTCCACACATTGGCAAACCTGGAAAACTCGGCATCTTTAGCCAAGCATGTGCCATTTCTTCTGCAGCCCCGCGCCGAGCGTGGGGGCTGCCGGCTCGTCTAGGGACCAATTCGTCACCCGCGTTTTGGGATCAACACCGTTACGTTCGCAGACTCGTGGCACCAGACTCGTGGCAGGTCCACTCTCTCACGACAGTTCAGGATTTCTCCCTTGACGCGCCTGACATCTCGTGACATCTCAGACCCTCACGAGGCGCGAGGGACGCTTCACCCTCGTGACATCTCAGACCCTCAGACCAAAAAAGAGGCGCTTCGTGTGACGCTCCTTCCTGTGACGCGCTCTGCGCCTCTGGCAGCGTCGGCCGGCGCCTCGCAGGAGCAGGGACTGGGACTGGACCACTTGACCTAACAGGGGTGAGAATGCGAAGTTCCGCCCGGACATAGCAAGCTGGTTCTGTTAAGCTCTTTAGATCAAGGTGGCGAAGGTTTTGAGCCCTTGTAGTTCGGCCGTTCAAGTCTTAGAAGCTGACGAGGCCACCAAGGGCGTTTAAAGAACAAACAAGAACCTGAAGAATGATGGGGCAGACATGGGGCGTTTTGGTTTTAGATGTTTTCAGGGAAAGTAGACTGACTTGACATAAGAGTCTAATATATCGTATGGGCATAGGTTTAGGTCCCCTGGTCGCGAGTTGAGTCTAGGACGCGGAAATCATGTCAATTGCACAGTAGGTCTGAAGCTGTGCCAGCTGAAACCCTTACTGTAATACCAGCATGAACCTCAAACAATTGTCCAATGCAAGAATGCTTTCGACACCCCACTGGTCCATGTGCAGAAGATCAGCTATTCGGGATATAATAGAGAAGTGTTTTGTGAAGGTGCCAGAGCAAAAACATCGGATTTCTTCTTACTGTAGTGGTTCCTCACCTCTCTGGATGGCGGCGCAGAGAGTAGACCCTTTGGCGACCATCTGGGGAACGTTCACCCCGAAGCCGAACACCCACGGACTCCACGGGCTCAACTCGTGAAGCTGGACCAAGAGATGCCCTGGGATAAGAAGACTCGACCTTCCCCACCTGGAAGAGGTTCTGCATTGCAGAATTGGTGTGAGGATCCAATTCCACTGTCTTCTTCCAATCTGCAAGAGCTTCTTGGTGCCGTCCCAGCTTTCGCTTCGCCAAAGCACGGTTGCAAAAGGCACCTGACATCTCGACGCGGGTTACGCCGTAACGCGGATGAAGCCGGGTGTCCACGGTTCCCTTCAAAAGGCTTGACTGTCCGGTCCTCTTTAGGAAACAGCTTGCAAACTTGCTGGGAAGGGGGAAATCAATTCCGCTGTTCATGAGGATCTGGCGATTTCTGTCAACTGCCGATGGCTGCAGAGAGCACATAAAGGACATAAAGCTGCTAAACCATTAGAAACCCAAACCTCCATCCAGCCGATTTTGTATACATGATCCACCTGCATAGCTCCCGTCATGCTCAATCGACTGGTCATAGTCTTCAAGGGCCTCTTCATACAAGCCTCAGCCAGGCGCCGAAAGGGGAACAAAACATACCTGGACCCTACCTGCACCATCCAGAGTCCCCAACCAAACACCGGGCCGCTTCCATTGGGCACCCATTCGGATGGTCCGGTAGTAAAAAGCACTCAACAAGAAGAACCCCGGTCGTCAAGCGAACGCCAAGCGAACCGAGACCTCGAAAACCGCAGCCCACCTCCTTACCGCCTCTTAGAGAGGCGGAAGGAAGCAATCCAAGCAGTGACTCAAACACTCCATGCATAACAAAAAAATTAATATTAATAATAGTAATACAGTAATAGTATTTTAATGTACAGATACTCCGACTTCACAGAAAAACCACCTGCCACTGTGAAGTCTCCATTTCAGCCACCGGAAACGGAGACCTTTGTTGTGGGGTGCTGGTATAGGTTCCAGGGGTCAGTCTAGGCATGTGTTCCAGCTTTATGGAGTGTCTGCACAGAGTGACCCAACGAAGCGCCCGAAGCGCGCGAATGGCGTCACAACCTCCCTGCGGCTGACAGAAACAGTGTAGATACCCTGAGCTTCCAGTTCCCCGAAATGCATCTGCTTAGCCCTTTTGGGGGGGGCAAAAGATGTCTTTTGAGATGTCTTTTGGTTGAACTTCTGTTTGGATCGCCATGGAAACGGCCGATTTCGTGGGCTCTGGTCTCCTGGCACCTCGGCGCCGTCAAGCCGCCCAGGCGGAACTTGCAGGAGGCCCGGTCATAGTAGGCCTTCGCCGAGGGGTTCAACTCGATGGCGCGGGCGTAGTCCTCCAGGGCGCCTTCGTAGTGGCCCAGCTTGAACCTGAAGGAGAGTGGGGATTTTAGGGCCGGACGGCATTTGGAGGGGCGAGGGACGGGCGGTGCCTGTTTCGTGTCGAACATGTGGGTGCTGTTTGTGGAGGCCTTTTAGGGGGAGAGATTGTTATGGATGTTGTTGGGATTTGGTGGTCTTCCCAGAACAAAACACACAGATTTACCGGCAGCAGGGGTTTCCAGCTGGAGTTGTATAAAGGCATTTGTTTAAAGGAGGAACTTTCTATCGCTTAATCAAGCGATGGCCGGTGTGTCTGCCTTTCGGAGGTCTTTGCTGTACATCTAGTCTTGGGAGTTCTTGGGTCAACCTGGACCCTGAAACAATGGTTTTGGTCTAGTCTAGTCTCTGTTCTGCTCCCAGTGCCCAGGGCGACTGCGTTGTCATGCGTTGTCCCTCCAAGGAGCTTGGCTGAAGCCCTGCCATGGAAAGCTATTCCAGCGTTGGGGTCCAGCTCAATCGCTTGCCCATAGTCTCTGATGGCCTTGGCTTGGCCCCTCTCCGATCAGCATATTCATCGCCAATTCCCACACATTCCCACGCCCACAAAGCTCAAAAGCAAGAGACGAACCAGCACCACCCAAATGTGGCTGGTTTAATGTGGCTGGTTTATCAACCCCCCATGGCCCCGTTCAGCATGTGTTTTCCATCCAATCACCCTCCTTTCGATGTTGCTTCAAACCCACCGCTTGGCCGGGTGGCTGCTTCGTATTGGCCCCGGCGAGCCTCCGCCAGGCCGCGGTTGAAAAAGACCACCGCCGAACATGAGCTCTTCGAGTCCTGCCAGCTCTGCCGGATGGCACGGTCATAGTCCTGCACCGCAGCGTTGTAGAGGCGCAGCTGGAACTTCGCCACAGCGCCTTGGGGTGTGAAACGCCCAGACTGGTGGGGTTTGGAGCAGTTGGAGGAGGAGGGCACAAGCAAGTGAGCTCAGCTAAGGTTGATTGAGGCTTTGCACCATGTGACCCCGTGCTTCAAACTGAAGGGTGTTCCAAAAATCAAGACGGGGGAAGGCAAGAAGAGATGCGTTTCCGAAGAGGGACGACCAGGGAGACCTCTCAGTCTCCCACCTTCTTAGCAGGAAGTTTAGGAAGCCTTGAAGTTGCAAACGGGTGGCACCTGGAAGCATGAGCGAGTCTCTCCCAACCAAAACTCATTCCGCCACCCTTGCTCACAAAAATACTTAGCATGATGCACCAAAAGCGAAATTGGGCTCATCAACCAATGAATGGGTAGACTCTTGATGCTCTTTGAAACTGCAAACCCTCCCATTTGAACTTGACATTCTCTGGATTTTGGGGGGGTATTCTTCTTAATATGAGTCGACATTTAGCATACTGTAACTCTGATGGTTTTGCCTGGCTCCGGCGGTCCGTTTAAGCTTTAAGGACAACCTGCCGCCATGGACTTCCGTCCCAGGTGAGCGAAGGGGCGGTTGCATGAGGTCCGTGCCATGGTGGGATCCAGCTGCATGGCCTCGGGACGAGAGCGAACACATGCCCTAGGGATCCAGATACCTTCTGAGGCTGAGGTGTGACAGGGGTGGGTGCCAGGAGGGTCCAGTCATACCTTCTGAGGCACCTGGAGCCGGGATTGGGGACCGGGTCGAACAAGTTGTGACCGTTTCACGGACGAGGTCCCGTCACCGTGAACTCGACGGTGACGCGCCGGCGCGGTCACGTGTTGGTTTTGGATCTATAATGATCTATAGTAGACTCTATGAAAGCTCGTTGATGCGGGGAGACCCTGTGGACTGATGTGGACTGGCGGACTGGCCTCTCCAGACCTGCCTCTGTGCCCTGCGGAAGTGGTTTGGCTTAGTGCGGTTTTTCAAGGGAGATCCCGACATCATGATCTTAAATCACCCTATTATAATCCATACCAAGATCCCCATGACAATTACCCCTAAGGGGCCACCATTTTGTAGATATAGACCCTTCGGGGCATTCGCCCCCCTTTATAAGAACATCCCATTGGGTGTCCTAAAATCACCACTTGTGGCTCCGATGCGTGGCGTGGCTCCAAAGCACTGAATGCACAGTGCTTTGGGGAGCACTCCGGGTCTTCCCGACATCGACACCGGGTCTTCGAGTAGGTCACCGGCGACGCGACGGAGCGACACCGAACTCGGACCGGTGCTCCAGGCGATTTCGGCCTCTGAAGGTGATTCGGGGTGTCCCACAACACACCAGGCGATCGGAAGGTCCTGCGTGTTTTGAAGCGTTTGTTGGTGGTTCTTCGGTGCAGGCGCCGCACAGGTGCCATCCAAAGGCTGTTGTTGGGGGCCGGTCGGGCGCCGGAGCAGTGCCCTCGGACGCCAGGAGCCTAAAGGACTGTCAAGCTGTCCAAGTGGCCGTTCCGTAGTCCGCCACCGCCGCTTTGTGCATGCCCAAGTTGAACTTGGCTAGACCACGATTGTAGTATGCACTCTCAGACCTTGGGTTCAGTCGGATGGACTTGTTGTAATCTTCAATTGCTTCCTGATGCCTACCCATCTCGGACTTGGCATAAGCACGGTTGTAGAAGGCATTTGTCAATTTGGGCTCCAGCTTGAGGGCCCTGTTGCAGTCTTCGATGGCCGCTTCATTCATATCCAGTGCACTCTTGGCCAAGCCACGGTTGCACAAGGCCCATGCAAAGTTGGGCTCCAGCTGAATGGCCTTGTCGAAGTCTTCCAGTGCAGCTGCATACATGCCAAGCCTGAACTTGCCTGACCCACGGTTGTTGAAGGCACGTGCAGACTCAAGTACCTCCTCAGCCTGGCCCTGGGCATTGTGACTGGCATCTTTGATCCAATCGCGGTCGCACAACATCAGCGCATTGTTACTGACCTGAAGATCAGGCTTTCCAAATCCGCGGAAGCCACCAGCAGCCTCCAGAGACCCCAAGGAGTCATCGGCCATCTTGGAGTCATCAAGGTGGTGGTGGCGGATCTTTTCCAAGGCACAATTGTCGGGCACTGCTGACTGAAGTCGCTGTAACTTGGTCGCCTTGTTGCAATCTTCTAGTGGTTGAGGTAACCACAACTCACGTTTGGCCACATGGTTGCCAAAGACACCTGAAGGATTGTTGTGAATCTCAGCGTCAAAAAGGCTGGCTTTTGAGAGTTCCTTGGAACCTTGCTCTGCCAGTTCTACTGTTTGCCTGACTTCTTCGGCTTCTGGGGGTTCCTTCGAACCTTGTTCTGCCTGTTGTGCTGTGAGGCTGGCTTCTTCGGCAGCTGGGGGTTCCTTGAAACCTTGTTCTGCCTGTTGTTCTGTCACGCTGTCTTCTTCTGCATGTGAGGGTTCCATTGAACCTCGTTGTGCCTGTTGTGCTGTTAGGCTGGCTTCTTTCGCTTCTGAGGGTTCAGTCGAACCTTGTTCTGCATGTTGTGCTGTTAGGCTGCCTTCTGAGGTTTCCTTAGAACCTTGTTCTGCCGGTGGTGCTGCTAGGCTGGCTTCTTCGGCTTCGGAAGGGTTCATCGAACCTTGTTCTG